CAGAATAAAACCTTGTGTTGTTTAAACAATTATATTCCCGAGTGTTTTTGTGCATGTTAAAAAAAATTGACTAGTAAAGACTTTAAGTTTGAAGAAGAAATCATCATTTGCCTTTCTATTCTTGTAAAGATTCTAAAGCCAACATTGAGAATGAGAAACAAAGACACAAACTCAGGAGAAGCTATCATGTAGTATTTGACTGAAAAGACAGAGACCATTTCCTATAGTACCTTAACGGCATGGTTAAGGGAGTTCAAGATGTTAGCAGTTGTTTCAGATTACTATCTGGGATTCTGAGACCCATGATGTATGGACTAATTTATGAGCTGAGCAGAGGGTGAGGTCTACCACTTGGAGGGTCTAACATATGACAGGGATGTCCTAAGGCAGTGCTAGACCAAGGGGCATTAAGTTCTCCAATGAAAATTAAGAGTCATATCTGGGGAAATGTTGCCCAGAAGTAGAAATCTGAATGTAATCAATCTTGCATCAGAAATATAAAAGTCAGGAAAAGGAAAAAACAGAGAGGAACAACTAAAAATTTCTGAGTAGGAAAGTGATAGGAACATTTTTTTTTTTGAAAGGTTATTCTAACAGCAGTATGGAGGGAGAACCAGACAGAAAGACTTGAGTGGAAATCCTAGCTGCAAAAGTCCAAGCAGGAAAAGATAAATGCCCCAAATAAAACATGATCTGGAGAAATTTTGATTTATGAAGCATGTCTTAGGTTGAAACAATTCAATGTAAATGTTGTTAGTAAACTCAGTTTCCCAGAACCTCATCCCAATAGGCAAAATTAAATTTCTGAAATTGTATTTTAGAGTTATTGTTATGTGCCATTAAGTCACTTCTGACTCATAATGATTCTGTACAGGGTTTCCAGGGAGCAGCTGGTTTGAACTGCCAACCTTGTAGTCCAGTGCTTATCCTACAGCACTACACCAAGACTCTGCTCTTTAGGTTAGCAAGGAATTAAACACGTAAAATATTTATGCTCTAATTCTGTAAATTTATATATGTACTCTATAAAAGTTATTTTACTGAAATTTAAAAATAATAACCATGTTATTTGTGTTAAGCACATATTATGACCTTTAATAAGCATAAGTGGCTATTATAACCTTTACTTACATCTTGATTCAGATCTAGGAGACTTCTGAGGTGTTCCTCTTTCACTCTTTGAATGATCTGATTGCTTCTCATCTGTATCCTGATCATCTGGTTCCTTCATTTCCTCTGGAAGTGTAAAATTGAGGCAGATAAAGGGCTAATGCTGTAAAACAGAAAAATTCAAACTTTTTTTTTTTTTTTCCTGACAAGGGAACTATTTGTTGTTGCTGTTAACAAGTGCCATCAAGTCTGTGAGAAATAAGTCTCAAGCTGGTTCATCTTCAGGAATAAGGGAACAAGGGTCCAGGAAGTTGCTTCTTGACCAAGGCACAGATTGTTGGCTGATATAGCCACCACAGGAGCCCATGCACCTGGGGTATGTGTAAACAGGATGAATTAGGGGAGGGGAAAGGAGAACCTGTTGGAGAAGTAGAAACTTTTAATAAGAATGCAACCATTAAAAAGAAATAGAAAACTTCCAGTTGGGGCTACAGCTGCTCAAAAATAGGTAGGGTACGCCCTGGTGAGAAGGGAGGGTGGATCTCTTGAAGGAGGCGCTCATACAACAACTCCAGAGCTCTGGATCTACCATAAAATGCAGGGCGTCAGTTTCCCCGCACTCCCAAGTGAAAAAAAATCATGATATTAAGGAAAACACTGGCGATTTAGGAATCTGGAGACTGTACTCCTTTGGCGATTACCCTACCCGGCACAGTTTAGAGGGCGGGCTAAAGCCAGCCTGGCTCAGAAAGCAGAGTGTTCAGCACACATACACACACACACACACACACACACACAAACACAAGATGCAGGAGACTACACATTTATCCCTCTCTCTCTCCCTGTCGCATCTTCATTTCTCAGCCCAGACATCAGGCAGGACAGTTTTCCCACTGTACAGAGAGAGGGAGCTCAGCTGCGATTTATGATGTCACCTTCAGACTCATGGATCCAAAAGTTCCCCAGCTAAACCCCTCGCATCAGTGCAACTTAGAATAGATTCTGACAGCAGATGACCTGTGGGGGTTTCTGAGGCTGTGGGTCTGAGCCGGGGCAGGGCACCTTGCCTTTCTCCTGGGTAGCGGCTCCACATTTCCAGCTATTGTCCTTGCGATCCATAGCCGCTGCGCTGCCCGAGCTCCCTGTGCAGGGCCATTTTAAAGCAATCTATAAAACCCCAGCATAACAGTACTCAACCATTCCGAGAATTGCGCTGTGCGCACACGCTGATACCTAACTGACCTTCAGAGACAAAAATAGTGGACAATCTTTCTCCCATTAATTCCCCAATATCTACCTGCACACCTCTACGGTAATGACTAGAGGAGGGGCCTGAGAGAGTGGTCACCCCCACCCCCTGCTGGAGGCTTCTAATTGCACACACACTGACAGTGTAGCTCGGGACAGTCAACCACAGCTTAATTTCTGTTACAAAGTGTTGATTTTTGTCTATGCATTTATTATTATTTCTGCTTTGGGTGCTTTTGATCACAAACCTTTCCTGGAGGTGGGAGCTTTTTCTCCCTATGTTACCCAAGAGGAGACAACAATCATGGCCATCTAGCCAAGCTATAAGCATACCCCATAATATTTCACCACTGAGACAAGACCCAACAACACCCACTAAGCATTACATTTGATAAGGGAAGCCTATTTCCTGGTCATATTCACCAGGAGACACCCAGTAATCAAACAACTAACATTCAAGCAGTCACATACTTAAAAATAATAATAACAACAACAAAAATAATAAACATGTCGAATAAAAAGCAACAAACCTTCTCAAAACATGTCCCAAAACAGAAGAGAGTAGCTAATGCAAACAAGCTGGAGACAGACAAAGGTTTTATAGAGGAGGAAGAGCAGGTTTTGGATATGCCTGAGAAATAATTCAGAAGAATGCTATGGAAACAAATTCAAATGCTCTGAAAAGGGGTGGAGGAAAACAAGGAAGAAGTAAGGAAA